CGGCTCCTATAGGAAGCAGAGCTGCAAAGCAATTAGGAATGGGAGTGTTTTGAAGAGGAAAATGGCAGGGGAAAAAAATTAGCATTTGCACTGTGATGTTTTTGTTGTTTATTAATAAACAAGCAGCTTTCATGCCTCCAGGGGCAGGAGAGGCTTCAAGCATTCCTTATTTCTCTTGCATTTAGCCTTTATTTGCTTGTTTTATATGTTGCAGGAGATTTGTAGTGTCTTCCCACATGTTGAGTTTCCTTATTTTCTTGAGAGCATCTCTGGAATAATTCCACTGAGGTTTCTGCTGTGTGCCGCCAGGCTGATCTAAACACTTGAGGGATGCAGGGTGGATCAGTACTCATTGGGAAGAAGTTATGTTAATTAGGAACGGGTCTGCTCCCTCCTGCAGAAGTGTTTTCATGGAGAGAAAACCCGTGTGCAGAGCTCCTGCCACCCTGGGTGGTGTTGGTGATCACAGGTGACACAGGTGTCACAGGTGACAGTGACCCTGATGTGGCCACCTCTGTTCCATGCTGGCAGCACAGACTCTTTCCAGGATGGTCAAACCCCTCATCTCCCCAGTGCCACATTTGTCACCAGGGAAGGCTCACAGGGGTCCTGCATGGGGACACTGGAATGCAGGACTCAGGAATGTCATGTGCCAAACAGATGGCATGTCCCTGGTGACAGGCACCAGAGGAGGCCTCAGGGTGACACTGCTCCTGGGTCACAGCAGGGGAATTAAAACCCTCTGGTATTAATGGGCTTGTTCTTCTTTCCCCTTAGGCCTCCAGCTCCTCCGGTGGGAAAATGCAGCTTCTGGAAACGGAGTTCTCACGAACCATCCGGGAGCTCATCGAGCTGCACCTGCTGCGCCAGGACAGCATCCCAGCCTTCCTCAGCGCCCTCACCCTCGACCTCTTCAGCCGCCAGACCATTGCTTAGTGTCCCACTGCCAGCTGCCAGCCAGGGTTTGGCCCTCCTGGGCAGGACACTTGAGGTAGTGAGGAAAAATTCTCATGTCCACCACCCTAAATTTGTGGTATTGGGTTGCTTCTGTTTTGCATTTCTTCCCCCTTCTTTCATGCTGAGTCAGAAATCAAAACAATTCCTCTGAAAAGCATAATTTTCCTCCTTTGGGAGGGCAAGTCTAGCTCCATCCCAGGGCTCTCCTGTGCCAGGATCCAATCCCTGCCTTTGAGCTGGGCCACGTGTTCATCACTGCTCAGATTCTCAGGATCTGTCTGGGAATACTGTGGGAGCTGCTGGTTTGAGGAGCCCCAGGAAGACCATTCACAGCTTTTCCCAAAAGGATTCCCTAAATCTAGGCCCTAACAAAGAGACAAACCTGCATGAGGCTGGTGCTTCCTGCTGCATGGTTGTCCTCTTCTAATGGGAGCCAAGGGCCTGATCCCTGAGGACAGAGACCCAGGGAAAGTCTCTTGCTCTTGGAAACATCTCATCACTCAGCAAGGTTGAAATTACTTTTAAGATATCAGTGACCTGAGTCTGCATCACTCAGCAGACAAGCACAAGCATAAATGGCCATTTGAAGCCCCCATACCTGTGTTGACACTTCTGTGGCTCAGTCACTGCCATTCTTTTGGTTCCTCACCAAGACTTTAGGGCTCTTGGTTATCTCAGGACTGTTGGAAGTGGAAAGGAGCAGTTTGGGCTGTGTTCAGTGCTGGTGGCTCTAGTCTGCTGCCTGCCACCAGCCTGTGGGTATCTGTTCTTGGAGGTCTCCTTTCTCCTCCCCTCCATGGGGAGTGGAGCATCCCCAGAAATCTGACATTTTGTGTTATAATGGATGTAGCTTTTCTGTCATAACAATAAAGTGTCACTTCCCAAACTGGGTGTATGACTCTTATTTGGGATGCACTCTGTGCCTTGCTGTGCTCTCCCACCTGTAGAGGATGAGCACATCAGTGGTCTGGTGTGCTTTGCAAAGGGAGGACATCATTATCTCTGTTTTTACAGGCAAGTCTCATTCATAGAGTTAAAGAATCATCAATGGTTTGGGTTGGAAGGGACCTTAGAGATCACCTAGTCCCAACCTGCGCTGCCTTAAACAAAATCAGTTTGCTATAAACTTCTGTGTATATTGATTTCCCCCTGTTTTCAGCAGGAACACACTCCCTGGGCTCGGAGGAAAGGTAGCAGTGAGCAGGCTAGAAAGTTAGCTGAGATACGTGCAGTGACTGCAGGGCTGGCCAGGCTTGCTGGAGTCACTTGGAGACCTGTTGATACATCTACAGGCATGGAAAACATCTGCTGTTGACCCCCACCTGCTGTCGATCAGAGGTGGAGGGACAAGCACGAGGTCCGGGGAGGCTGCGGCCCCCATCTCTCCTCTCTGCAGGGAAGCGCAATAGCAAAAGTTTGTCATTTTCTCTTCTGCTTGAAGAAGTCCCGGTGGAAGATGAATTGCTGGGCATGCTGTGCCAGGGGAAGGCTGCCTGATTCATATGCACGGCGTGGCACGGAGAGTCGCCTTCCCCAGTCATGGGGAAAATGAATCATGACGTCAGCCGCATTCAGCTCCGCCGCCAACACAATAGCAGATCCTGGCTGCCGCGGAAAATTTTTCTCCTGGCTCCTTGCAGGAGAAATGAAGTAATTAATAAGTTTACAATAAACCCTCTATCTTAGCAAAACACAGGTGAGGCGAGAAGCGATGCTGGAAAGAGACAAGGGAAAACACGTTCTGCCTGTTGGAAAGTTGCCTCCCAAGAGTGAAAGGATAATAAGTTGGGAGAGAACACACAGTAGGCTTCCGAGATGCCTCCACTGGGGAGGAGACATGAATTACTGCTCTGCTCCCTGTTCTCCCAGCAAGACTGATTTGTTCAACTAACTTTAACGCAGCAGCATGGCTGGGAGAGGTGTGTGGTGAGGATGGGTGCTCGGCTGGATGTGCTGGTGTGGTGCAGCACCTGTCCACGGCTTGGGAGCTGCTGGGTGACTGTCCTGCTTTGGCCAGCAGCATCCCTGCCCTGCTCATGGCATTGTGCTGCTGCACAGTGAGGGCACAGGGCTCATATGAAACGGGGACTTCTCTAAGGCTCACACATGGAAGTCTGGGAGTTGTTCATGTGGAGGTGTGACCATTGCAAAGCCACCTGGGCCACCTGTGGGCCATGGAGGAGTTGAGACTCCCCAGCTTCTAGTTCCAGCACTGAATTCAGGATGAAGCCACAAACCTACAGCTGTATCTGATACCACTGCAGCTCCCATCTCTGCCACTGTCATTATCCTGCTCGTCTGAGCCATGAGGGTGCTGCAAGGAGTAACTGTGACACTGAATTTTGCAGTGATTGCTCCTTCCTTTATAAGCCACGTGGGCTCAGCAGCCCATCAAAGGCGCTGCCACCGTGTTCACCACCCCCTGCCTCCCCCTCCGTGAGTGCAGCCCCCTGAGGCAGTGCAAAGAGGTCACAGTTGCCACCACCCCAGGTGGTGAGGGCACAAGTCCCATCCAGGTTTGGCTCATCACTTGCAAAGCTCCAGCCCTGTTTGTGGAAAGCCGTTTTAAGAAAATGTTGGGAGCTGGATTTGCAGTCGGTTGGAGGGGAGAGGCGGGAGCTCTCACAAGTGTGTGTGTGCTCGCTGGGTTTCCGTGCACACTAGCTGGGTTTATGTGCTGGAGGCTGTAAAATATGATTTATTGGTGCATGGCTGCAGGAGTTGTGTGTGTGTGTGTGTGTGTGTGTGTGAGAGCAGCATCTTGTTTGCAGTGCTGCCTGAAGCTTCCTTTCGCTCCAACTGCTCGTGAGTCCCTGCTCTGCCACAAATCAGCCCTGTCCATCTGTGTGCATCCACAAACACCAAATGGGCACAGAGCTGTTGGGTACTGCCATACAGTCAAGAAAGCAGCAGAGCTCTGGGCTAAGGCAGGTTTGGCCAGGTTTGTGCCTCTCCTAAGGGCACATATCTGCACCTGGAGCCTTTTGTTCCTGCTTTGTGTCTCCTTGTTGTTCACCTTGTCCTGGAAGTGTGTGATCCCTGAGAAGAAACCAGGGAAGCCTTTTTGGGATGAGCCATGAGAAGTCTGGAGTTTGTAGATGTTAGTTTTGGATCTTCTCCATGTAACATTATAGGAGCAAGGGAAGAGCACTGGAGACATGATGGAGGTGGTTACCTGGAGAGTGAAGGGCAGGAGCAGAGCAGGGGTGGGTGGAAGAAACCAGGCATGGAAGGAAGGAGAAGCCATCTCCATTTCTGAACAGCTGCAGTTCCAGCCTTGATGTCAGTTCTCCACTGCTCCCCTCTGCTCACTCCAAACAAACACTGAGCCACACCTGCCCTTCTCATTTCCCAACCCAGCAGTGAGCTCAGAGGCTGCTGAGAGTGATGTGAGTTGGGCTGATGGGCAGACGTGTCAAAATAAACCCCAGGGTGGGACAGGCAAGAGCTTCTTCAGACATCACTGAGCTGATGCCAGACCACGTTGGGCTCTGCTGCTCAGGGTGGGAGAGGGCACAGCCAGGGCAGGATTGGTTCTGTTGGAGCTTTTAGCTGTTCAGAGATGTTGGGAAAACAATGGTATAGTGTGTGATGCCAGGTGACTGTAGCTAAGGACAGGAGCTGGGGAGGACAGAGCAGGCTCTCTGTGCTGGTGTGAATCACATTCCTGCTGCCTGCTGTGACAGCAGATTCAGATTTAATAGCAGCATTGCTTAAAACTTGCATGATATTTAAAAGCTACAAAATGCACCCACTCTGATCAGGGGAGGGATATTAAATAAATAAACAAACAAACAAACAAATAAATAAAGAAATAAATGGATAGATAAATAAATAAATAAATAAATAAATAAATCAGCAAAGCTTTTTCACAAAGTCTTTTTTAAATATTAAAATCCCATCCTTCCCAACAGGAAAGCTTTTTTCAGGCTAAGAGGAAAGACTGAACGGCATCTGATGATATCGCATTGACACAAGTGTCTAGAAAAATGGGGTAGGAATGTATGATCTGTTCTGAAAAAGGAACCATAGCTAATAGGAAATATGCTGATGCTACTTTTAATTTCATGACTCAGGTTTGCTGCAAAATTGATGGAAATCTGTGTTGGAGCTTGGTTACATTAAAACAGTTCTTGGCTGCCTGGAGGTTTTCCAGTTCTTGTTTCTCTTTGGGGGGATTATTATTGTAAAATCTTTTAGTACTCTGGGGGTTTTCAGATGTTATTTGAAAGGACAGGGGAACGATCTTTTATCCAAAACAAAGAGGAGATTTTTGCTCCAGAAAGATCACTGGCCAAAGCCCAGCCCTGGACAGGCCATCCCAGCAGCCCTTCCTGTTCCACCCACAGTGTCTGGGTCTCCAGCCTTCCTTCTGTGCGTGTTTTCCCTCAGAGCAAGTACAAGGAGCAAAACAGAAGAAAAATACACTTTAAGGAAAATGCTGCCATGTAATTTGAGGAGCACAAAGGCAGCTTCTTGCTGCTGGAGGTCTCAGAAGCAGTCCATGTCTTTGGTCTCCACCCAAACCACATTTCTTCACCAAAGCACATTCCCTTGGGCTGTGTCAGTCTTCTTCCACTTCCCCAACATGGGATCAAGCTCTACCAACCCCTTCATCTTCCCTGTGCTGTTTCCTGGCCCAGGCTCCAGTGCTGATGAGTTTATTAGTGTTGCTAATTTTACCTGATGCTGCTTCCTTCTCTTCATGACAAGTTATGTTTTTTTGAACTCTCCAGCTGATTGATTGAGCTCTCTTTAATATTCCCTGTTTCACTTTGAATTCTCTTTGTTGACTGTTGCTTGTTGTGATTCTGTTTTTTTTTTTTCCTTAATTCTCCCACTGTCTCTCTTTCCTTCCTGGTCCTTTTAATGCTTCTTCAGCCTGGAGCAAAGCCAGAGACCATCGGGAGGTCATTGAAACACAGACGGCCGTAGGATTTAAATAAGGACTGGATAATTTTATGACCATTAACAAGGCTCACTGCTATGCAAGCCAAAGTAATAAGGGCAATCATATCTCATGGTTCGGGGAGCAAGCTGATTGCCTGCAGGGACTGAGAAGGTAATTCTGCATCCCTGACTCTCCCCAAAATATGATACAGTTCACAAGATGCACCAGGCAGGTCGAAGGGCTTGGCTAGAGGATGAGAGCATTTCCCTTATCATCTCTGTTGTCACACCCCATTGATGTGATCAGAAACTTCTGGTGTCAGCGTGGTGGGAAATATTCTCCAGGCAGGTGAAAGGCTCTGAAGTTTGGCAGATGAACCTCTCCTCTTAAGGAGCATCTGCTGAGTGACATTTGTGCTGTGTGAGGGCAGATACTTCACTTTGCTGGTAGTGACTGGGTCATCTGCCACGCTGCTCCATAACCACTGCCAAGGAGGGGCCTTCCTAAAAGAAACACAGAGTGTGGATGTCACTTGGGTCCTTCCTTTTGGAGGTGCCTCCCCACTGACTGTGCACATCCCTGTACTCAATGGGGTGATGGCAAATCACTCTGTCCCTCCTTCACCCTTCTCACAGCACAGCTCTCCTGGCTCCTCTGTGTCCCTGTGCCTTTCCTCAGCTCATTCTGGGCTCTCCCAGCTCCTCTGTGTCCCCTCTGCACCCCAAGTGCTCAGGGAAGATGGAAATCTCACCTGCACAGGGTGCTCAGCTCTGGCAGATAAGGTGGTTTTAGAGGTTACTTTGAAACTCCAACCTCAAGCATGTTCCTGATCCATGCAGATACCCCAGGACACCACCAGGATGCCTCCAGCCTGGCTGCACCTCCTCTCCCCTGCTTCAGCTGGTGACAGCATCCCAAAAGTCTGGGACTTGTGCAGCTTCAGAGGAAGGGTCACAGAGCTGCCTGCACCCTGTTGGCACCTCTGGCATGGAGAAACCAGCAGGGTCCTGCACAGCTCTTAAGCCATATCCCTGGTGGGAGGGTTGGAAAAGTGAAACCGAAAGTGAAAGTGAAACTGAAACCGAAAGTGACACTGAAACTAAAAGTGAAAGTGAGACCGAAAGTGAAAGTGAAACCGAAACTGAAACTGAAAGTGAAACCGAAACCGAAACTGAAAGTGAAACCGAAAGTGAAACTGAAACTGAAAGTGAAACCGAAAGTGAAACCAAAACCGAAAGTGAAAGTGAAACCGAAAGGGAAAGTGAAAGTGAAACCGAAACCGAAAGTGAAACTGAAAGTGGAACCGAAACCGAAAGTGAAAGTGAAACCGAAAGTGAAAGTGAAACCGCAACCGAAAGTGAAAGTGAAACCGAAAGTGAAAGTGAAACCGAAAGTGAAACTGAAACCGAAAGTGAAAGTGAAACCGAAAGTGAAACCGAAAGTGAAAGTGAAACTGAAACCGAAAGTGAGAAACCGAAAGTGAAAGTGAAACCGAAAGTGAAACCGAAAGTGAAAGTGAAACTGAAACCGAAAGTGAAACCGAAATCGAAAGTGAAAGTGAAACCGAAAGTGAAACTGAAAGTGAAAGTGAAACTGAAACAGAAAGTGAAACCGAAAGTGAAACTGAAAGTGAAAGTGAAACTGAAAGTGAAACCGAAAGTGAAAGCGAAAGTGAAAGTGAAACTGAAAGTGAAACCGAAAGTGAAAGTGAAAGTGAAAGTGAAAGTGAAACCGAAAGTGAAACCGAAAGTGAAACTGAAAGTGAAAGTGAAACTGAAACCGAAAGTGAAACCGAAAGTGAAAGTGAAAGTGAAACCGAAAGTGAAAGTGAAACCGAAAGTGAAAGTGAAACCAAAAGTGAAAGTGAAACCGAAAGTGAAACCGAAAGTGAAAGTGAAACCGAAAGTGAAAGTGAAAGTGAAACCGAAAGTGAAACTGAAACCGAAAGTGAAAGTGAAACCGAAACTGAAACCGAAAGTGAAACTGAAACCTAGAACCCTGACCTAGAACCCTAACCTAGAACCCTGATCTAGAACCGTAACCTAGAACCCTGATCTAGAACCGTAACCTAGAACCTAACCTAGAACCCTGATCTAGAACCGTAACCTAGAACCCTGATCTAGAACCTAACCTAGAACCCTGATCTAGAACCGTAACCTAGAACCTAACCTAGAACTCTGACCTAGAACCGTAACCTAGAACCCTGATCTAGAACCGTAACCTGGAACTTGAGCCTCGAATCCGAGCCCGGAACTGTAAGCTTGAATTCCTGGTTAAATATGGCGGCCGCTAAGTATTTTCGGTTAAATATGGCGGCGCCTTGTATTTCTGGCAAAAACATGGCGGCGCCCATCAATTTCCGGTTCAAAATGGCCGCGCCCTATATTTCCGGCAAAAACATGGCAGCGCCCGTCAATTTCCGGTTCAAAATGGTCGCGCCCTATATTTCCGGCAAAAACATGGCCGCGCCCGAGATTTCCGGTTTAAAATGGCCGCGCCCATGTCCGTATGGATAATTATAGTGTCGTGCTTGTGTGTGGCTTTGAAAGGCGGCGCCGAGAAGCGCGAGAAAAACGGCACGAAACGCCGTGGTATCGCGCGNGGCGCCGCGATTTGGGATTCTGGAGTTGGTTTTTTCCGGGACAAAATGGCGCCACGCATGCGCCGTGGGGGCTTCCGGGCGGTTGGTGTCGCGCCGATGACGCGCTTCCGGTCAAGATGGCGGCGGCCGTGCCGGGAGTTTAACCGTCGCCGCGCCGCCCCGGGAGCGCCCCGCGCCGCCCCGAAACGACCCTCCGGCGCGCACCAGAAGGAGGCTCATGGGACCGGAACAGGTTTGTTCCCAAGGTAAGGAAAGCACCAGGCCCCCCCAAAAGCCACAGCCTCCTCACACACACCCTGTTTATATCACCGCTGTTTCCTGGCTTCACAGTTAACTCAGGACAGTCCCCAGGTCCTGTAACCAGTGTTAAATGTAATGAATGATCTTGTCCTCCTTGTTTGTCTCCTCTTTAGTGTAACACTGTAATTAGCTTAATTACCAACAGATTCTTTTTTTTTTTTTGTAACTTAAAATGGAAATTAAATTTTGCACCAGGTTTTACAGGCTGTTAACGGGAATCGAATAATCAAGCCTGACTCCAAGTCCTTGAAAATGAGTATTAAAAAAGGTCTGAATTTGCATATTCATGTTTTTAATAGGGTTCAGAAGGTATATTTGCAACTGATGAAAAGGATTAATTAAGCTTAATTTGCATAGGAAGAACAGTTTAACCCCTTGCATCCTAACAAGGCATAGACTGACAATTTGAATTCCATGGTTTGATGCTGGAGAGACGCACAGGCTGAGAGCAGTGCCCTGCAAAGCACCTTCCTTCCTCTCCAGGAGGATAGAACCAGGAGAATACAGGATCTCAGCATCATCCTGGCACAGCTGGTCCTCCTGTGCCCACAGCCACCTCCAGGTTTGGTCTCCATCTCTCTACCATGGTGGTTTGTGACCTGGGTCTCTGAGATAAACATGCTGCTCCTCCTGCTGTGAGCTGGGCTGGGCAGCTCTGACAGAGATTAAAGAAATAATTCCAGTGCAGCCAGCTCTGTCCCCTGAGCCCCTGTTCCCAGCAGCCTGTATCCAGCACAGGGAGGGAGCACCATGGCTGGTAGGGGCACCAAAACCTTTAACTCCTGATCTCATCTCCAATTCCCTTTTTTATCAGTGGGACTGATCCCAGTCAGGGTTAAAGGCTCTGTGGGAAAGTCAGACCAGGGTGAGATTTGGTGAGTCCTGTCCTGCTCCCAGCCACCAGCCTGTGACTGGTCAGCTGGTGACAGCATCCCAAAAGTCTGGGACTTGTGCAGCTTCAGAGGAAGGGTCACAGAGCTGCCTGCACCCTGTTGGCACCTCTGGCATGGAGAAACCAGCAGGGTCCTGCACAGGAACGTTACGCTTCCCGGGGCCCTACAAAGAACAGAGCACAGCTTTGAGTCAGTGCCTGAATATTGCTATAAAGTGGCAAAAAATAAATAAATCAGGCATTCATTTTGCCTCAGCAGGTGGTGTGCTGCGTTCCCCTCGTAACGCTTTGGTGGCGTGTGTTGCTAATTATTTTTGGGGTGGAATTTGCTGTGCGCAGCGCACGGGGTTCATTAGACAGAGATGGCTTTGAAGTGGCGTTCGGAATTAATGCTGCCATATGTAAATGTTTCTTGTGCCACGGAAAAGCTGGCTATAAATGATGCATGAGGTCCAGTGAGAGAGATGCTTGCTTTGTTTACACACACCCATTGGGCCTCGTTATGGCAGGAGCAGGCAGGGGAGGATCGGCAGAGCCTTCACACACCGTGTAGCTGCTGCCCGCCTGTACGTGAGCGTTCCACAGGAGTTAACAAGGTGTCTTAGCACACCACAGCCCAAATTTCCTCCTGTCAGAAGGGTGTTTAAGCAACCCGTCAAGGCTGCTGCTGTCTTCGTGCTCAGTGCTTTCCCCAGGTCCCCCAGATGATGAGGAGGGCACGTCCTGTGCTGTAAATCATCGAGGTCCTGACCCGAAAGCCTCCCTCAAGCAAAACCTGCCTCGGGGCAAAGGCACTTAGGGGTAATTCTGGGAAGAGGGGTCCCTACTCACCTCCTCCTGCTCTCACCTGGCTCATCCTCTCAGCACAGGGTCCAGAGAGATGTGCTTACAGCAGAGTTGGGGAACCTTTCATTTAAGAGGAAGAAAGCGTAAAGAAGGAGAAAGAAAGCACAAAGCCCATGAGCACAGCCAAGAGAGCAGGAGGCAGTGCCTGGGGCAAAAGGACAGAGGAATGTAAGATCCCTCAACCCTTATCTCCACCAAAGGCTTTTGATGATGACCCTTCTGCTGCTGGATGTGTCCCAGAAAAGCCAAGTTCAGCCCTATGTCCTGGGGGCACGTATTTTATCCCAAGAAATACTTTCAGAGATGAATTCTTGTGCATCTCTTCTATAAAGCAGGACCCTTCTTGGGTCACCCAACAGTGAGGTGAAAAAATAGCTCCCTAACATGTTCCAGGAGTTTGTCTCTTCTGCTGGGATTGGGATTGGGCAGGTCATGGGTGAACCATTGCTTTCTCCTGGTTGCTGTCAGAGTGAGCTGGAGACCGTGCACATGTCTATGGAGACATCACTCTGGCAGGGGTCTGGGACACCTGGAGCAGGGTCTCTGACAGACCTGTGCCCCAGCAAAGCAGGGTCTGGAGCATAACTGCACCAAAGCCAGGGCACTTGTAAGGGGCAGCTGAGCATCTGTGCAGCTGTGTTTCCCTGGGGTGATGAGGCCAGTGTTGTAGTGGGTGTCTAAGCTGATCAGGCCAGAAACCATCACAGAGTGGGTGGCAAAACCAGTGGCTGATTGTTCTGAGTGAGTGACTGTACCTGGGGCACAATGTGGAGCTTTTGGCAGTACCTGACACGGAATGGCTTTGTTGTTCACCCATTCTGGGACTGAACATGTGTCAGGCTGAATGGCTTCATCCTCTTCTTGGTGCTTCCCTAGGCCTGATCAGGAGCAGCCCCCAGACCTCTGGCCACCCCCAGACACCTGGGGCAGTGTGTGTGGGGCAGCTGTTTGGGCACTTCTCTGCTCCTCCAGTGCTGCTGCCAAGAAAAGAGGCTGGAAATCACCAAGGTGCAAGTGTGTCATGATTTCCCTGATGAGTTTATGAAATCGCTTGCTCATTAAACACAAAAGGAACTGTTTGCTTTTTAAGTAAAACAGATTTAAAATATTTTCCTCTTCATTGTTGTCTGAAAGGCTGCCTGGTTCCCTCAGCCTCTTGTGCTTGCCAAGGCCACTGGGCTGCACAGGTGGGGCCCCTCTGAGTCCCAGTGTCCCACTCCAGATAAGGGCCCTGCAGATTCCATATCCCTGCTCATGTGGACACGAGCACAGGGGCAGCTCCTGGGCAGGGGACACCAAGTGCTGGAACTCTTGGAAGCCTGGCCCCCATGCATGGCACACTCCCCAGACTGCCCTCCAGACAAACTCCCTGTCACAGGTCTGGTCTGGACAAGCTCATGGTGAGGAAGGAAGGAGCTGAGCACAAAGCTGTGACCAAGTGCTGAGAGGATTTTGTGTTTTCCTACTTCCAACTGTTTATTTACCAACATGCTGGAGAGCAGCGATCACTTCCTCATGCCTTATTGAGAAGCTCAGCTGTGAAATAACTAAATGAACCATCCCTTTTTATTAGCCTTTGGACTGAGCAGAGGAGCAATCAGTTAATGGCTGACCAGTTTTTGAAGATGCTGAGCACATTACAAGTGCTAAGTATTATTATTTTTCCCTGCAATGCTTTATTTTTCCCTCTGAATACTCAGTTTGAATAACCCTTTCAATTACATTACCTGGTTTCATGCATTCTGCTCAGATTAAACACAGTGCCACTTACAATTCACCCACCTCAGTGGCTTCCAGGTCTCTGCAAGTCTCATCCTAACCTTTGCCTCTCAGGCTTGGGTAGAAACAGCCTTTGTTCTGGGTCCAATCTGCCCCAGCTCTGCTTTGGTTTCTTTAACTTGAATGCATCCACATCACTTTCTGTCGGGCACTACAGCCTCTGGTTTCTTGCTCTTGCATTCTGTTTTTCTTTGTTAGTAGGGGAACATCTTGCATCCTTTCCCTTTCCTTCCAGCCAAATTAGCTCCCTGGATAAGCTGTCTCCTTCATTTGCTAGAATCTTGTGATGTTTTGGTTTATTCTTCTTTGAGAGGGCTTTGTGCTGTGCTTCCAACCCATCTCTCTCAGCAGACCTGGGATCTCCACCCGTGAACATCCGTGGCTTTGCAGAAAAGTGGGACTGGCTCAGACTTCACACCAGTGGGTGAATCCATCTCCTGGCAGCTTCAGAGCATAGATGGACCAGTCCTTCACAGCTACAGGTGGGCTCTTGTGTGTGTGCTGTTCTCCCAAGCCACCCTGGGGCAGGGACTTCTCAATCACCTAAGCCAGAGGAGCCTCACAACTGTATCCAAAAGAGTTTCACCATCTCAGGTGGTTTCTGGAGCTCCCAGCTCTGCTCCAGCACCTCCATCTCTGATTCTCCACTCCTGACAGCTGTGCTGGGATGTGTCTGGTCTTCAGGACCCAAGTGTGAGATGGTGGGAGATCAGAGGGCAGCCCACCCCTCATCTCACTGTCCTGCCTGTCTGTGAGCTCTGCCAAGGAAATACATCTGGAGTGGCCACACCAGGCACCTGCCCTCCCCAGCCTCTGCTGCCAGCCTCCTGGCATGTCATACTCAGAGCCCTGGTGTCTGCATCTGTCTTTTAGGA